AGTCTTATACAATGTATCATAAAACACTTTGTATACGGGTCCTTATATGTTCATGATACGCCAAAGACCTTATACACACTTAAACTACCATTATACCATTAGTATAAGGATCCCTTATACAACCTTAAACACTTCATTTCATGCAGTGTTGGTGAGAAGGTACTTATCAGAAAACCAGGTAAAAGATCGACAAACAAACGTTGTGCCATAATTGAAGGTATAGTAATGAAGCGGAACTTGAAACGTCATTATTATAAAGTTTCTTGGTCAAATGATAACAACAGAAGAATAACGACCTGGATTCCTGTTAATGATATTACAAGTATAACACGTGAGAAAGAACTGGAGAAAACAAAGCTGGCAAAGGAACGACAAAGAAAATCTACCCATCGTAAAAAGTACCACATAGAACTTGATCATAGCGAAGTCTTTGAAGTCTTTGAAGACCAAGGCTTTCAGATTGAATATAACCCTGATGGAAATGGCAATTGTCAGTTTTCGGCCCTTGCTCATCAATTGAAAAGCATTGGAATTTTCCGCTCTGATAAGACACTTAGAAAAACCATAACTGACTACCTCAGAGAAAATCCCCTTGATAACGATGGATTTCCACTGATGGCGTACGTTTATGATTTTGATAATTGGAATGACTATGTTGATAATATGGCGTTAGATGGAACATTCGGTGATCAACAAACATTGCTAGCTGCAGCAAACTTATTCAACATTAATATAGTCATCATATCAACTCTTGGCCCAGGCGGAACTCACGTCATCTCATCAAATGTAGGATCTCCCGTAGCAACTGTATATCTTGGCCACTTTGCTGAAGACCATGGGATACACTATGTGAGCCTAATATGTAGTAATCGAGGTGACTGCAATCAAAATACACCAAATATTCGAGGGTCAGAATCCGATGAATCAGAAGGAGAGGTTGTAGAGCCAGTAGAGCACTCAAGATATGACTCCAATCAAAATACAGCAAGCAATCAAGAGTCCGAATCTGCCGAGGAAAGAGAAGTTGTAGAGCCAGAAGAGCCTTCAAGTCACTTCCAAAATGCACGAAGCAATCAAGGTTCAGAATCTGATCAAGAAAAAGAGGGTTTCGAGCAAGAAATACCTTCAATGCACACCAATGAAAATCAACCAAGGGATCGAGGTTCAAAATCTGCTGCGGAGGATATAGAGCACACACACGATACAGTAGCGGGCCAAACTATGTCTGACGTACTTAATGAAGATCGGCAGCTACTTAACTTTGACATTCTTGAACAGATTATCAGATTAACAGTAGAGTTGTATCCCTTTTCCAGACAGGCCTTAAGAGCAGTAAACTCATTCTTTAAAGAGTGCGTCGATAAGATTCCCCCGCCTATATTCCTGAGCTTGAACAAGTCACCTCTACACACAGTATGCGAAAGTTATTACAGCTTAAAGGAAAAAACAGCGGAGCAGTAATACATCTTCGGGACGTCATTAATTCCCGAAGATGGATTCACGCATGGTTATTATTGAAAGCTATCGGTTTGGGATGGTTTGTGGTATCTCACATATTTTGGAAAAAATGATGTTTATAAACCAAAGCTATTTTAAAAGTGTTGTTAAACATTGTAAAAGTATTCTTTGGGATGTTGTTAAAAACGTTTAGTTATGTTGTAAATTATAATCGATTACATGTATGGTAATACGTTGAGTTGTATATCAAATAATGTTCTATTAAAAATGCATCGGCACCATGATTCTCGAATATATGTTCATTTGTTAACTTCAGTAGGCAATAGTAACCGCATCACTTATGAATGCCCCTTGATCGATACAACAATCGCTGGCTGAATACTGTGGCACCCGATCAATTGATCACCTGATCACGGCTTTTTACTTCTTCTAATCTGACTTTTGAGACTGCTTTTACCCATATCTACCACGAACACCAAGGTCACGTGATCTATAGTGTCTCATCCATATTTTTATGGTACCCGTCTCATATGATGATTGGAACCAATTTGAACTTTGATGTGCATCTTCTTCTTTTCTTCCGCCCTTCTTCTGCGTGCGCATGAAGGCGGTCCCCAGGGGGGGGTGGGGGGAAGGTTTCCCTTTTC